GATTTCATCGAAATCCAGTTAGCGCAAAAACTGTGACGAATGGAACTGACAAGAGATGATTTGGATGAACTGAAACTCGATGTTCCAGTGAAAATTCTCAGTTCTGTGTCAAGATGAATGGTACTAAAGTATCCCTCATTAAAATAAAATGCCTTTCATGCAAATGCATAAAAATTAGCGATTTTGCAGAGACTGTTATGAGTCAATAGATAATACACGAAAGCCATATCCAGATGGTTATGGCAAACCGTTGGAACTGGTATTTGGGAAAAAATTTCAATTGCCAGTTTTCGAGAACTGCTTGCAAACAATGCTGGTTGATGAGGTAAATTGTGCCGGAACTATTTTTTCCCCGCTTTATATTGGAAAAGGTCCATTTTTTGGTAATACTAAGTATTGATCTCGAATTTTGTGCAAACATATCCTTCTGTTTTTGAAAATTCTACAATTAACAACAAATAGAATTGCTGTATGATTTGTTCATTTTGTTAATAATTAGCTGGAAAGTCACAAAAACAACGATGAAATTCGATATTTCTGGACTTTTTTTCTTTTTTTTTTTTTTTGGGAGGACGAAAAGCAAGAGGGCAGACACCTAAATTCCCAGTAATCTCTTTTCATGCTTAAAATAACGGAATTTGACCATCAGCCTCAGTAACATTAAGCACGGGAAGTTTGCCAACTGCTTAGCGAAGATTCGCCAAAATGGAATAGAATGTCAAAAAACTATTTTTTGTTTTTTTTTTTCTTTTTTTGTGGTATTATAAGTAATAAAAATAGTAAGAAACATAAAAAAATAAAGAAATAAAATATACTAAGAAATAAAAATAAAAGTGAAAACAAGGATTTTTCTTTTGTAATTTTTAGGTTAACCAAAAAAAAAAGTTTTTTTTTTGTCATTTTCAGATTAGCCAATTTGATATAGCTGCTTCTGAGCTTTATCCATATCCATCGGTCTCGCAGAAACTTCGTGACATCTCCAAGGATGCCATTCATCCGGGCAGCGAAACGCATCATCACACACATTGTGCTGCAACAGCAAATTTCACGTACGTCTACGTTTGATTCGTAACAGAACTTAAAAATGATATTTCTGTATACCTAGGGCTATAGTACTTTTCATGTTTTATTAAGGCAGCTGTAAAATTGAAATATGCGAAAATTCGTTTTTATGCGTCTTTTGATGCAACATTTGCACAAAAATCATACCATCATGATTCTATTTATATGTGTTTGTTTGTGCGTATATGTGTGTATGCGTGTGTGTGCACACATGTGTGTGTATGTTTAAGATGTGTTTTATCCTGAAGTTTTTTTTTTAAAGTTAGGAGTCAGAAAAGCTAAAAAATTGAAATTTTGGAAAAATGTTCTGTGTCCATATGTGATTGAAAAATTTAAAATTCGGTTTTTGAGTATGCTAGAATCTTACGTACGAACACGCAATATGTAATTTTAGAATTACAAATTCAGCTTTTTTTATGCATGCATGAGTACGTGAAAGTTTAGGTGAGAAATTTTTAATTCGGGAACCAAGTAAGATAGAAGATACAAATTTTAAGGGAGTTTTTTTGTTCATGTGTGATCCTACAAATTTAAATTCAGCTCCCCCATATATGTATATATATATATATATATATATATATATATATATATACATATGTATATGTATAT